CATCTCTGTCTACACGGATCCACACGTGAGTCCAGCAGCGCTCTCAAATGAAACAAAACCTTCACATTATGAAAGCAACACCGGCGACACGTTTCTCTGAACAATTCTTATTCTTTTCCCACAACTTTTGGCAACACAACATGTCGTCTCTCTGCCGTCTGAACACTGTTTCAGGTACAGTCTAAGAAAGCTAGCATGCATATTAATGAAGTTGCAGCACATACATAATGGAGCGTGCTGATTGGTTTGAACCAAGCATCACTCATGAATGAATGCAGCACAGTCTGAGACGTAATACGGTACTCCCAGGTACAGACGTCCATTCTACACGCTGGAATATATGATATGATCTCATAGCCGTGACGCAGCTTCAAAAATTTGTTTCAAACCGGAAGTACGAATTTGCTTGAAATAACGCAAAAACAACCAATTTACACTGTTTAGTGAGATATAGGTGTCCTCATAGTGTTTATAGCAGCAATGGACACATATACCACTGTCAACAGCTCAACACATGTGTTCTGGTGTTTTGTGACCCTTTAAAACCAAAATATGACCTTTTATAATGTATAATAGGGGCTCTAATGTTCTCTGAGGATGCTGAACTCTCAAATCAGTGATTTCTAGAGCCGGTGTTTCTGAACTCCTGCATCAGTGTTTGCTGGAGCTGCTTGTCTGAATGTTTTCAGCAGAGGCCGTATCTGAACACTCACACTGATGACTTCTAGAGCTGCTGTTTCTCAACTCTTGCATTCATGTTTGATATTCTTTGTTTAAGTGTTTTTGATGAATTATTCTCCAGTGACGTGTGGATCGATGTGTGTGTGTGTGTGTGTGTGTGATAAGCAGACTCTATTGTGCAACAGTAACACACATCTGTCACTGTGGAAACTGAACAACATTGATCAACAGTGTCCAGTAATGCTCCTCCTGCTGGCTGACCGTAAACCTGTTTGATCTGACACTGTTTGACAGAGTTTGGCTGATGATGGACACACACACACACACACACACACACACACACACACACACACACACACACACACACACACACACACACACACACACACACACACACACACACACACACACACACACACACACACACACTTCAATTCAGTACAAATAAGATTTATGGGCATGACTTGTCAAGTCTTGCCAAAGCATTGCACATTACATAAACAACGGATAAAATAGTATGGTATCTCTCTCTTTCCCATCATCATCTCTCTCTCTCTCTCTCTCTCTCTCTCCCTCCCATCATCCCTCAGTATCCATCACACACTTCCTGCTCTGCCTTATATGGTCAGTGGAAACAGAAGAATCAGCCAACAGAGATTGTCAGGCAAACACACACTCACACCTCTCTCTCTCTCTCTCTCTCTGTTTCTCTCTCTCTCTCTCTCTGTTTCTCTCTCTCTCTCTCTCTCTCTCTGTTTCTCTCTCTCTCTCTCTCTCTCTGTTTCTCTCTCTCTCTCTCTCTGTTTCTCTCTCTCTCTCTCTCTCTCTCTGTTTCTCTCTCTCTCTCTCTCTCTCTCTCTCTCTGTTTCTCTCTCTCTCTCTCTGTTTCTCTCTCTCTCTCTCTCTCTCTCTGTTTCTCTCTGAAGATCACATTGCTGTATTTTAATACAATATAGAACAGAGGTTCTCAATCTTTTCACTTCGGGGCCAACTTCTTTCTTTGATCAGTGTTTGAAGGCCCTCCTGTCTGACATTTATTTATTTTTGTTTGTTTGTATGAAATTCTCATTTAAACCTTTAAATATATATATTAGGGCTGTCAAAATTAGCGCGTTAATGCACGTGATTAATTTGAAATATTTAACTCGTAAAAAAAAAAAACGCAAATAATGCAGTTGTAGTTTTTTATTTCCTGTTGTGGCCGACGTGTGTTCAGGGCCGGCGCGTCCATAAAGACGACCTAGTTGGCTGCCTTGAGCCAACCCCCGGTCCTTACATTCATCCGCTACACCCACCCCCTCCCTCACGGTCCTCGGCCTTCCATATGAATAAAACAGCGTGATTGCCGTTTGCGAGCGCCAGTTCAGCTTGCTCCGGCCCTGCGTGTGTTTAACGTGCAGAGAAATATGGATATGATCAAGGATGCGCTTTCAGAAGGAACGTTTCAGTATGAAAAATGTAAAGTCACATCTTCAGGCTATCCAGCGTTTCCTCCAGAGTTTCATGCCATTTCGTGTGCTTCATTTTTAATATTCAGACTTTAACTGCAGTTCAGCCGACGTGATAATGAGGCTGTGTTTGAGTGATCAATCAGAGAACAGGAGAAAGTGCATTACTTCCATCATTTTAAACTAGCATTTTAATAATGAAATCCAAAAAGTTTAGTCTCCTATTGAAAGTTAATTTTAAGCTATCTCACGGCCCACCTGCAGGATCGCTGAGGCCCACCGGCTGAGAATCCCGATATAGAATATGATTTCACGTTCAAAGTAATAAAAAATACTACTAAACAGAAACTAAAATATAATAAAACACACATACCTGAGGTTCACCTGGTGCTCCAGCAGCTGCACATGCAGAAATCAGAGTGTGTGTCTTAGCTTTTGTGTTCTGAAATCACAACACACACATGAAATATCTGCATCTCACACACACAAGAGCTCAAGAGCTGGGAACTTACCTTCACTTACCTAGTGTATAACTTCACTGCGAATGCTAATCTAATCCAACATTCATTCATTTTCTTCTTGGCTTATATTCATCAGAGGTCGCCACAGTGGAATGAACCGGCAATTTATCCAGCATATGTTTTACATAATGGATGCCCTTTCAGCTGCAACCCATCACTGGGAAACATCCATACGCACTTATACAGTTTAGTGGATCAGTTCCCCTATATCGCATGTGTTTGGACTGTGGGGGTAACCGGAGCACCTGGAGGAAACCCACGCCAACACGGGGAGAACATGCAAACTCCACACAGAAACACCAACTGACCCAGCCGCGACTCAAACCAGCGACCTTCTTGCTGTGAGGCTATCGTGCTACCCACTGCGCCACGACGTCGCCCACTAATCTAACATAACAACTGCAATAAAGTCTAAAATAAAAGAGAAATATTAGATGAAAACTGATTAAATCTTTAAAAATCCAATAAACTGAATTCTAGAATTAGCAACAACTAAAAAAAGATTCACAACTAAGAATTTAAAGCTGACCTGTTATGCAAAACTCACTGTTCTGCAGGGTTTAATCCAGCACTGAATGAATTGTGTTTGTTTATAATCAGACTTGATGCAGAAACACTTTGATTGGCATTCTCCCTTTGTATGTGTCATCAGAGGGGGAAAGCCCCGCCCACTAGTGCCCATCTCATTAGCATGTCCAGCAGCCCTGAGTGAGAAGCAGCCGTCTGTCCATTCGCCATTAGAGTGTTTGAGCTGCTGAAGATGATGTCAGCATAGACTAAGAGGATTATAGATGTGGAGTTTTAGATGAACAGAGACAGGAGCGACATAGACTTCTTGTAAAAATGAGCATAACAGGTCTGCTTTAAACCAGTTAAGAAATCTTTCCATTTTCATCCTGAAGCAGAAGATGAAGAAGAGTGAGGAAGAAACTGAGTTACTGAACACAGTATTGTACTTTACCCTGATGTTTCAGGAGCACAGTGTGTGTTTGTGTGTGTGTACCTTGTATTATGTGACCAAACGTCCCCACAAGAATAGCAATACCAGTAAATTAAGACTTTGTGGGGACAATTTTGTAAACACCATGAGGAAAATGACTCATAAATCAGGCAGAATGAAGCATAGTGAAGATGTAAAGAATATACAGTCTTTACAGGGGTGTACAAACTTGGTCCTGGAGGGCCGGGCCAACTTCCCTCAACACCTACACGGATGTTTCTAGAAAGCCTAGTAAGAGCTTGATTGACCAGCCCAGGTGTGTCTGATTGGGGTTGGACCTAAACTTTGCAAGACACCGGCCCTCCAGGACTGAGTTTAGGCACCCCTGGTCTATACAGTACAAACAGCATTACAGCTATGCGGAGAGACCATAATGATAGCTGTACACGTGTGTGTGTGTGTGTGTGTGTGTGTGTGTGGTCTGATCCCACGATTCAGTCCTCAAATGACTCCCAGAATGAGT